TTTTCTTTTCCACCCACCAGGTCACACAACCTACAAGTAGGGAGCAGGGACAGAGAGAGAGCCTGCATGCCAATTCCAAGCTCCTCAGGATCAAAGTGAGCAAAAAGGAGGTCAAAAAGTCTCCCTCCCCTTTAAAGAACTCAGTTTTTGCTCAGAAGTGGGGAGGGGCAGATTGTTTCTGTTATCTTGGGAGGGTTATAAGGAGATCCAAGACTGATGGTCCGCTTAGATGATAATAATAAAGGTATAGAAACGTTCTTGCTCTTCAGTGGGTGCTGGGGTTTGAAATTTAAGAGGAGATAGAAAATGAATTTGGGGGAGGAGTTGGGGTTGGCCTTTGAAAGCATAGAGGTAACACGGCTGGAAAGGAACGTGAAGTAGGAGGCACTGATATCTGTCAATATTGGGACCCCCCCACCCTGAGACCCTTTCACCCTGGGGGCAGTGTCGTTCGTCCTGTCCAGAATGGCAGCCTGTGGAGGCACCTGCAAGAACAAAGTGACTGTCTCCAAGCCTGTGTGGGACTTCCTGAGCAAGGAGACCCCAGCTCGGCTGGCCCGGCTTCGAGAGGAGCACCGTGTGTCTATCCTCATAGATGGCGAGACTTCTGACATCTATGTTCTCCAGCTTTCCCCACAGGGCCCGCCCCCGGCCCCTCCCAATGGGCTCTACCTGGCCCGGAAGGCTCTCAAGGGGCTGCTAAAAGAGGCAGAGAAAGAGCTGAAGAAAGCTCAGAGGCAGGGGGAGCTTATAGGCTGCCTGGCTTTGGGGGGTGGGGGAGAGCACCCTGAGCTACATCGCCCAGGCCCACCCCATCTCCGAGCAGCCCCACTCCTGACCCCAGGAGCACGGGGGCTTCCCCCACCTCCTCCTCCCCTGCCCCCTCCTCTTCCTCCTCGCCTTCGGGAGGAGGCAGAAGAGCAGGAGAGCACCTGCCCCATCTGTCTGGGGGAGATCCAGAACGCCAAGACACTGGAGAAGTGCAGGCACTCATTCTGCGAGGGCTGCATCACCCGGGCCCTGCAGGTGAAAAAGGCCTGCCCTATGTGTGGCCGCTTCTATGGGCAGCTGGTGGGCAACCAGCCCCAGAACGGGCGGATGCTGGTCTCTAAGGATGCCACCCTCCTGCTGCCCAGCTATGAGAAGTACGGCACCATCGTCATCCAGTATGTCTTCCCACCCGGTGTCCAGGGGGTAAGAAGACTCCCGCCTGCCCTTACCCTTTGGTTTTCCCCATGCCTGTTCTCTGACCTAGGAAAACTGGGTGAGGGTGAGTGTGTTTGTTAGATATGATACAGTCTTGCTGTCTCCCAGTGTGCCTTCCTGCTCAGTGCCCTGGAGCTAGGAGGTCCCTTTGAGGCCCAACTTTTCCATCTCCATGACCCCAGGGCACACATGAAAATCAGGTATGAGAGAAGGGTATTGAATACTATATCCTCCATGAACTTGGAGGTTGATGACTATTCTTGGCAGAGGTGAATTCTGAGAGGTGGTGGCTCAAGTGCAGGCAGACACAGCAGGCAGGGATCTGGCCCTCCTAACAGATCAGAGTTACTTTATTCCAGATTTATGAGCAAGGGAAACCTAGATAATGGTGAAAGGTTAAAATTTAAAATGGGAGTGGTCAGGAGCCCACAGGTGTCTTCCCACTTGGTAAAGACTAATTTCCAGTTTTGTTGGCAGAGAGCTAAGGTCTGAAGAAGAGTAATAGAAAAATTGAAAAGGTTAGACAGTGGAAGAAGCATTGGGAATGTTTTCAGGTGGAGATGGGAAGACTGGAAGATAAATTACTGTTTTCACATTTCTGCTGAGTTACCCAGAGTAAGGACCGGCTACCTTTCACTTCTGAGAATCCATTTGTTGCTGAATTGAGTCTTGAGACAGCAGAAAGAACTTTATTAACAATAAGGATTCTATCCAAAAACAGGCTCCTACTGCCCAAACCCTAGAGTCTCTCCCTCCTGGAAAGGCTGTCAGCGTGTTGCCGCTCTGTCAGCATTAGCACAGACAGAAGGCTGGCCAGGGTAACCCTCCTTTGGCATCATGGGCCTTAAGGTGCCCAGCTGCTCACTGCCCACTTTGCTCTCCCCTCCTAGGCTGAACACCCAAACCCAGGAGTTCGGTACCCTGGCACCACACGGGTGGCCTACCTCCCGGACTGCCCGGAGGGCAACAAGGTGCTGACCCTCTTCCGTAAGGCATTTGACCAGCGTCTCACCTTCACTATCGGCACGTCTATGACCACAGGGAGACCGAATGTCATCACCTGGAACGACATCCACCACAAGACCAGCTGCACAGGGGGACCCCAGCTGTGCGACATCCCTTCATTTCCCTTTCCTTGGCTCTTCCCTGTCTTCCTCTCCAATGAGGGAACGACATCAGGCCCTCTCTGGGAGCCTCCCCACTGGAGAGGCCTACTCCCAAACTATATACAATCTCTTCTTCCCACTTTCTCCTACATTCAGCTTGGTTTTGATGTGCCCAGCTTAACCTACAATAACAGAATTGGGCTAAGTTTATCTTGGGTTTGGATAACCTTAGGGGAAGTGGGTAGGGACTGGAATGAGGCACCCAGAATGAAGTGAGCAAGGGGGTTGGTTATATGAGCAAGGCAAAACAGCTAAACCTTGGCCCCATTTCTTTCTCCTAGGTTTGGGTACCCAGACCCCACCTACCTGACTCGGGTGCAAGAGGAGTTGAGAGCCAAGGGTATCACAGATGACTGAAGGACGTCCTTTTTGCCAAGGCCCCTGCTGGCTCCTCCACTAGGACCGCTGGAAGTCTCTGTTCTCCTCTCTCCCTCTGTCTCCCCACACCACAGCACCCGAGTAGGGGACCTGGCCAACTGGGGAAGGAGTTCAGAGAGGAATGGGCAAGCCCTTTCCCTGTCCCCACAGGCCAAGTGCTTCAGTGCAGTGTGAGCCACTCCCTTCTGGCAGAGGCTGATCTCCCAGGCTTTCCTCCCGTCCTCCCCAAGTACAGACTCCCAGTCTCCCGGCCCCTTCCATTGCCCTTGGCTTTTTCTGGTCTGTGCTGTGCTCCACCAACTAAGCTGAGAAAGGACCAGGGCGATGAGGGGAGGGTCTCTTGAGCCCCCAGACCCACATACTGCGCCACTGCTGAACTTCGGTGCCGGGAGGGGGTATCAGGCTGGTGTGAGTCCCCGTGGAGCCGGCCTTGTGAGTTCATCAGAAACAATTCCCCTTCTACCTTAACGTGTCCTTTCTCTCCTGTGTCTCTGTCTCTGTCAGTCTGTCTTTCTCCTGCTCTTCTCCCCCTCTATAAGGAGCCTCCTTACCCTGTTCTGGAATCGCCGCCAGACTCTAGCTTTTAATTTAATAAAAATAAAGTAAAATATGCAACCTTCCATGCCACGCCCGTGCTGTTCTGGGGACGAGGTGGGGGTGGGGTGGGGAGCGTGACCTACTATGGAGGGCGGGGAGGGTGGAGGGGGTGGTGATCGGAAACCGATGTGCTTCCCCAGCTCACTGTCTCCGGAGGGCCTTGGGCAGGGCATATTCTCAGTGGGCTCCATAATAATTCTGCGAAGGCCTGCATCACTCTTCGACGTTAGAATCGGGATTAAGAGGGGTTTGTTTGTCGCTGAACTACAGTTGTAGAGAAAGGAACAACCCTACCCCCTTTGAGAAGTTTGGCTGGGGGTGGGAGTGGGGGCGGAGCCGGGCAGGGGGTGGATTCGGCAGCAGCAACTCCCCGGACGCACGCAGGCCTCAGAGCCCCCCAGCTTCCGTGCCCCCTCGGCCCTGAAATTTGGAGCTGGGTAGGGGTCCAGCATGAAGCCCCCGGACCGCCCCGCCCCTGGCCGCACTGACCGGATACTGGGGGTCATGGGGGGCATGCTGCGCGCATGCGCCCTTCCCGGGCAGGAGGTGGTAAGAGATGGAGACCACGGTGGGGTCGGGGTCTTTAGGGGGCTTCAGGAGGGCTGAACCCCACAATTCAATTTACCTGCAACCAGGAATTATGCGGGGCAGTCGTAGAACTCCAGGAGTTCCATTAAGAGGGCCTTGGCCACATTCTGGGTGAACCGCTCCCTCCACCCCAGCTTGGGCGACCCTTTTGTAACATTGTGGATTTTGACAGAAGGAAAAAGGGGAGGTGGTCGGTCTTGGCTGGGCGTGGAGAGCGGGTTCCTTCGGATCATTCTGTCCCCGCAGCCCCAGAAGAGGAGCCCTCTAGGGCAGGGGGGCACCGAGCCAGAGTCTGACCAAACGGAGGGCTATCAGGAAGGGGAACGCGAACACATGGCCCCCGCCTGGTCTCCGCTGCCCGGTAAGAGGCTAGGGGTGGGGTGGGGCACCGTTTGCCATCCAGCGCAAAGTGGAGAATTCAACTACATACTGCTCTTATTAGCATAAAGGTTCGCATCTAATTTGCATGAGACCCATTTAATCGCTGAGACCTCCACTCCTCTTCTCGCCCTCCATCCGCTGTGTCCCCAACCTCGGTGGGTCCCGAGTCCCCGCGGGCGGAGTGTCCCCGCGCCCCACCCCTGGCCCTTCGCCAGCCCGGGCTCCAGGACTTCGCCTTAATTGGTGATTAGCCTCAGCTGGAGTAGCAGGGCCTGGAGGAAAGAAGGGTCCGGCGAGAGGGCGGCACCTGGCCTATGTTCCCCACAAAGAGCTCCCCATTTATGTACTCCCTACTGGAGGACCTGGCCACCCCTGCGCGGCTAAGCACAGTCCCAGCCCAAGACATCTTCATACAGGCCAAAGCCCCATCCACCGCACCGTTCCTCCGCAGAGGCGGAGGGGCGACCAGGCAGACAGGCAGACCCCGCTGTCGGTTTAACCCCCGCCCCAGAGCTCCGCAGTCCGAGCCCGAGATGTGGGAAGGAGGGGGAACCCGGGGCGGGGGAGCCCAGGCTACGGAGAGGGGGCGGAGGCGCCGGGGACGTGGAGTGGGAACGTGGTAGAGCCTGGAGGAGGGGAAGGGGGAGGAGGCGGGAACCCGGCCTAGGACAGGAGAAGCGCGAGAGGGCGGAGCTGGGCCCAGAAGCCCCTCCCAGCGGCCGCGCCGCGGCCCGGCCTGTTATTCGGCTAGCTGTTTGCCCGAGACCCACGCAGCGCCAGTGGCTCGGGGAGTCCGCCCCCTGCCCAGGCCTGGAACCAACCCCAACCCGAGAGGCCGGAGACGGAGCTGGAGAGGCTGCCGCATCCCGGCCCAGCCTCCCATACCATCCCTCCCCTCTGCGCTGGACGTCGGGACCCTGGGCCCCGCAACGACAGGGCTCCGGAAACTCTCCCCGCCCAGCACGGCAGCTGGGCCCCGCGCCGCCCTCTCTGCAGAGACCCCAGTCTTCCTCCAGACCAGACTTCCGCCTACCCCTGGACGCCCCCTCCCGCTTCCCTCCCTCCCCGCCTCCCCAAGTCTGGAGCGGGGTAGGAGGGAGGGGGTGTGTGCGCCCTGCGCCGTCCCCGCCCCGCCCCCCGTGATTCCCCCTGTATGGCCGGCCCGGGCGGGGGATGCGGGGGGGCCCGGGCGCCATGCGGGGAGGGCACAAGGGGGGTCGCTGTGCCTGTCCCCATGTGATCCGAAAAGTGCTGGCAAAATGCGGCTGCTGCTTCGCCCAGGGGGTACGTGGTGAGTGCGAGGTCGCAGGGCCCCAGTGTCCAGTTGGGGGCGGGCTGAGGTTTTAAGACTTCTGTTTGCCCTGGCCCGAAGGATATAAAGACTGGAGACTGTACCTGTGTTTTCCAGGGAAGTGACTTAATTAATATACCTTTTGCCTCCAAATTTCTATCAGTTCAACTTAAATTGGGGAAGGGACAGGGGACATCTCTCCTTCCGATAGTCAGTTGGCTGTGAGAAAAACCCATCCAGGGTCCTCACAGGCCTAGAACTGCATCTTGCCTCAAATCCTTTTGCTAATCTGAAGAGGGATGGGGGATGGAGGAATGAGGAATGAGGGGGCCTACCAGGGGCTCTATGGCGAATCACAGCTCCTCTGTCCCTGAGCCCAATCCAAAGATAGCCCTGATGAGCTGTCCTCACCTGCCTCCTCCACTGGGTCTGTACCTTTGTTGGGGAGGTGGGCTACAGCAGTCTGGGGGAGGGGGCCTGGGGGTGGCAGATGGACTTTTAGCTTTTTTTTCTCCCCCACTACTCAGAATGGTCTGTACCCTTTGGGATGGGGTGGGATGTAGGAGAGCAGATGGCCACCCTCAGCTTCCAGTGTCTGCCCAGATGGCTACCCCCACCCCTATATCTGTACCATGCTCAGGATATGGGGGAACCTCCACATGTAACTGGGGATTCCAGACCTGGTGAGCCTTCCTCCCAAGGGTGCCCTGATGAAATTTTCTATACTGGCCAACTCAAATGAGGATGGTGAGAGAGTGAGCCCTGGGGGAGAGGGGCTGAACATCAAGGAGAGAAGACTCTGGAGCTCCCCAGGGACCTGGAATCTGGAGCTGGAGCAATAGCTATCCCTCTTTTCTTTCCTCCCACCCCATTAGAACCCTATTCCATTGCTGGCAGTGATGGGAGTATCTCGGCTTCAGCTGCCTCGGGTCTGGCTGCACACTCTGGTCCCAGTTCCAGGCTCAGCTCTGGCCCCTGTTCCCCTGGCCCCCCAGAGCCAGTCAGTGGCCTGAAAAGATGGTTGGATCATTCTAAACATTGTCTCAATGTGGAAACTGATGCAAGCGGTGGCCAGACTGGGCCATATGAGGTGAGCAGGGAGCACCAGAGAAGCATGTAAGATGTTCATGAAAGACACTGGGAGAAGCAGGTTGGGGGCCGCTGGTCACTGGGGAGACACAGCTATTGTCTCTGACCTCTGACACTTGACCTCTGGTCCCCAGAACTGGATGCTGGAACCAGCTCTAGCCACAGGAGAGGAGCTGCCAGAACTGACCCTACTGACCACATTGTTGGAGGGCCCTGGAGATAAGACACGGGTATGAAGAAATGGATCTGGGATGGCTTCCCTAACCCATTTGCTTACTCTTGGATGTTCTCTCCTTCCAGCCACCTGAGGAGGAGACTTTGTCCCAAGCCCCTGAGAATGAGGAGGAACTGAAGAAGGCGGCTCTGGAAAGGAGTATGTAAGTATGCATCATCACCCAACCCCCACTAAATTGCCCAACTCTCATACATTTTAGAATTGAGACTTGGAATTTCCTCTGAGGTTGGCTGTGGTAATGAAGGGGCTTCTGGTTCAAGGGGGAGGAAGTGGCTAAACAAAGGATGTGCACTCCTGTTTTCCCCAGGTATGTCCTGAGTGAACTGGTAGAAACAGAGAAAATGTACGTGGAGGACTTGGGACAGATTGTGGAGGTAGCTCTCTTTTCCCTTCTCAGCCCTAGTCCAGTCCTTTCCTTCTGCCCATGGCTAATTTTAGGAGCCTTGGTGCTCCTCTATGCCTTGCCAGTGCCCTCTCCATCCTGGACTTCTTGGTGTGCTGGGGTGGGGACAAGGGTGGGGATTCCCGCTGGAGCCGGCTCCACACACCCGAACCTTCCCACAGGGGTACATGGCTACCATGGCTGCTCAGGGGGTCCCAGAGAGTCTTCGAGGCCGAGACAGGATTGTGTTTGGGAATATCCAGCAAATCTATGAGTGGCATCGAGAGTGAGTGGTGGGTCCCTGAGAGTAAGGGAGAGGGGGGTGTTTGGTTGTCTCTGTATCCTTCTATCTAGGGGCCATTGTTGCCTGAGGAATGTTTGGAGGGGCTTTGTGGCTAGCACTACCAGGGCAGATAGCTCAAAATTGCGTGCGATTGGAGTATTTGACCTGCCTTTTCCCTGCCAATCCCTCCAGCTATTTCCTCCAGGAGCTACAGCGGTGTTTAAAGGATCCTGATTGGCTGGCTCAGCTATTCATCAAACACGTAAGGGTTGAGAGGGAGGGGCCTGGATGGGAGGGGCTTGGGAATGCTCGGCGCTCTGAGACGAGCTTGCACTACTCATCCGCCCTGCTCTTGAACTTTTCCCCTATTAGGAACGCAGACTGCATATGTACGTGGTGTACTGTCAGAATAAGCCGAAGTCAGAGCACGTGGTGTCAGAATTTGGGGACAGCTATTTTGAAGTGAGTGGCAGAGCTGCTTTGGGGGAAGGGGACAGAATCTTCTGGCTTTCCAGGCTGCATAAGCATCCCATCCCTGTTCCCCAGGAGCTCAGGCTGCAGCTGGGGCACCGTCTGCAGCTCAGTGACCTCCTCATCAAGCCAGTGCAGAGGATCATGAAATACCAGCTGCTACTCAAGGTCAGGCCCACCTATTCCTTGGGGGCACAACAGGTGGAAACAGCCCTTTTCTCATTCATATCCCCAAAGTTCCTTAAGGCTGCCCCCAGACTTCCTGGGGGTCCTTATCTGTGTGCTCAGGGGATGATGTGAGAGCTGCTGAGTATGTCCTCATGATCCCCGCTGAGCATTTCTTTTCTACATCTTAGGATTTTCTCAAGTATTACAGTAGAGCTGGGGTGGATACTGAAGAGCTAGAGGTGAGGACTCCCAGACCTTCCAGGACACACCACACATACCTTATCTTTGTAGTCTCCTGGGTTCCCCCAGCTCCTAAGGTGGTGTAGAGCTGTCTGGTTTTTAGGGGGAGGCTGGATATGAAGAGGCCTCTTTCCCAGCCATGACAGTGCTCCTCTCTTCACCTGCCAGCAAGCTGTGGAGGTCATGTGCTTCGTGCCCAAGCGCTGCAATGACATGATGACCTTGGGGAGACTGCGGGGGTTTGAGGTATGGAGATGGAGCAGAGGCTGGAGGTTCAATGCCCTTCTGCCCCAGTGTGAGCTCCTTGGGAGGTCGTTATGGGCAGTCGTCTCCTGGGGCTGACCCCACTGTTGGTTGGAAGTGTCAGGGAGGGAAGAGCAGAGAGTTACCCCTTTTCTCTTCTTGTTTTTTCTCAAAGGCCACTATCTTTTGATTCTAGGGCAAATTGACTGCTCAGGGAAAGCTCTTGGGTCAGGACACATTCTGGGTCACGGAGCCAGAGGCTGGGGGGCTGCTGTCCTCCCGAGGTCGAGAGAGGCGTGTCTTCCTCTTTGAGCAAATCGTTATCTTCAGTGAGGCCCTGGGAGGAGGTGTGCGAGGTGGAACACAGCCTGGATATGTGTACAAGAGCAGCATCAAGGTGGGAGGGTGTTGGTCCAGGGGAGGGGATCTGTCTGGGAGGGGGTGAGGCATCTGAGAAGGTGTGTGCCTCTTGGATTCGTTGGAGAGGGTAGGAGCCAGAGGGGGCCTGGAGAATTTAGGGACCATCTCCTATGTTCCAATCCAGGTGAGCTGCCTGGGACTGGAGGGGAACCTCCAAGGTGACCCTTGCCGCTTTGCACTGACCTCCAGAAGGCCAGAGGGTGGAATCCAGCGCTATGTTCTACAAACTGCAGACCCTGCAGTTAGTCAGGCCTGGATCAAGCAAGTGGCCCAGATTCTGGAAAGCCAGCGGGACTTTCTCAATGGTGAAGCTCCCCCCACTTCCCCAATGTGTGCCCTCAGCCCTTTGACCTCCTGAATCCCTCACTGCCCAATCTGCACCCCCTGCTCTCTGACCCTAGCTTCTCCCCATTGCTCATTCCCACTTTTCCACTGCTAGCTCAAGATTTGATAACTCAGAATCCCCTAAACACCAAGCAGCTTACATTGGCTGACCATCCTTGGGAAGCAGAACAAAGTGGGAGGGTGGCCTGAGCAGAGCCCCTCGGGAAAGGACCTGTCTCTGCTGTAACCTTCCTTTTGTTCCTCTCTTTGCCCCAGCACTACAGTCACCAATTGAGTACCAGAGGCGGGAGAGCCAGACCAACAGCCTGGGGAGAACAGGAGGGCCTGGGGTGGGGAGCTCTGGAAGAATTCGGCCTGGAGACCAGGCCCAGGTCAGCACACACACACCCATCAATGGCTCTCTCTCCTCCCTGCTGCTGTTGCCCAAAGGGGAGGTGGCTAGAGCCATCCTGCCCCTGGACACACAGGTAATGAGGAATGGAGTTTCCTGGTTGTAGGGGCAGAATGGGGAGGGCCTCTCTTGTTTTGGGATCTCCAAATCCCCCTCCTCCATATCATTCCTTTCTTCCACCACCTTCCTTTTGTCTGTCCCTTCCTACTTCCCATTTCTTACCTCCCCACTCCAGTTTAACCCAGGGAGAAGATGATGGTCTCAAATAATCTAAGTTATCTAGCAAGAGGAGGTGGCTTGGCTAGGGGCTTACACTGAAAAGAGTAGAGTGAGGGTAGATTACCTTATTTTTTTGATCTTCTGACTTGAGCCTTTCTTCAGGACCCCAGTGACATCCCTCAGCCTCCTTGTGACTCTCCTCCAGTTCCACCAATTCCTAACACTCTTCCCTGCCAAGCCAGACTTGCCAAGCTGGATGAGGATGAGCTGTAACTTGTGAAGGCCATGGGGATGGTGCTGCTCAGCCACTCTATTCCCAAGGAACTTAAGGGCAGTCGTGGCACCACCCTGGAAATCCCCTTCTTGGTGTGTCTGAGGGTGGGCATAGTGGGAGTGGTGTGAACTTGGAGGAGGGTATCTAACTCAAAAAGACTTCTTTCTGCCCAAGGAACCCAGATTCCTTCAGTTCCCACCCCTATGCATGCTTCACAGTTTTCTCCAAAAGAAGGGTATGCTTGGAGGGGAGTGCTGGGCAGGGACCAGATAGACAGGACCGGTTTTCTTATTTCTTTTGTTTTTTTCTGTTTTCTGAGAATAAAGGTTTTGTTATATCACTAAGGCTGCTGTCTTGACAGAGCAAAGGGGAGGCCTGTAGTAGGGGTAAGTTGGGTGAAGTGGTATGGAAGTGATCAGCTGGCCCTCAGATCAGTCGTCTTGAGGAGGGGTCCAGTAAAAGTAGGGCACAGGGTGCAAGATAAAGAGCTGCTCTCTTTGTCCCTCACGCAGTTGCAGCATCTCTGTGTCCAGACCTGGAGCTTGGGACCACTGGAAAACCCCAGATCCTTGATGTAGCCTCCCCTTTATACAAAGACCCCTCTCATCTGGCCTCTGTTCTAGACCCTGCTGGAAGTCCAGTGTAATGTGACTTTCCACCATTCCCCAAACCCAGATTCTAAAGCACCAAATGCCCTCTATGCCTTTACTTCTGAGGCTTCCATGTTCAGCTGAGGAAGAATGGGAAGGTGGAGAGGGCCACCTCTGGGGGCTGTGGTCCCTTTTGGCTCTGGTCTCCTTATTCTTGCTGTCTGAGAGGTTGTAAGGCATATCCACACCGAGCAGGAGTGAATTCTTCTACAAGCCACAGACCCAAGAGTGGAGAGCTCAAAGGGGTCTTCACCCCTCCCAACTTCCGGGACAGCCCTGGAACAGAAAGGGCCAAACCTGCAGAGATACATGTCCAGATGCCCTGTCCTGGGTCTTTGGGCATCGGTGTGTCCACTTGTTTCCTGGGCCCAGTCACGTGTACTTGGGCTTCCTCAGCAGACAATAGACAGCTGGGGTGGGAGGGCAGGAGGAGCCAGGACCTCCCTGCGGGCCTGAGGTCCTTCTGGCCACAATGAGGGGAGGGACCTCTAGAGGAGGGTGGGCAGGACCTGGAGCCCAGATAAGACTTCTGGGGAACAATAAGAGGAATTGAAGAGGGGAGACCCACCCTCACTGTACCCCACCCCCAGGGTTTTGGGGTCAGGGACTGGGGACCCGAGGGTGATGGGAGGAGTGCTGAGGATCTTTGGGAAAGGAGGAGAGGATGGGCCACAGCAGGATCCCGGAGCTCAGAGCTTTGTCTTGTGGGACCACAGGGCACATGAGGTGGCTGGGTGACATTTTTGTACTTAATTTAATGTGCTTTTTATTGCCTACTTTATGAATAGCACTTGAATGTAATAAATGGTGCTTCAGATTTTTTGGCTCCTGAGAAATAAAATCATAATTTCCTATCAGTTCGGTATTTTTCCCTGAGGCCCTGAACTGGGAATGTAGGCCCAGCCCCTCCAAGTAGAGATAGAAGCTGGTGGTTCCCTGCCATCCCATCCCATACCTGTAGCTGCTTCCCATCTCACTAGGTTGTTGGATGACTGAGGCCAACAGAGTACCCTGCACTTTCTTGGGGCAAGGTGTACCGGACAAAAATGTGGGTATGCGAGGAGAGGGGAGTCGAAATTGCGCTGAGCTTTCTTTCCAGGAATGCGGCAGCTCCGGGCATGACCGGTTACCTTACAGGACCCAGTTTCTATCTCCTCCCAGAGTGCAGATAATGAAAAGGAACCTGGACTGAAGAGGCGGTAGTCGAAAGGCTTAGGAGTGGTACAGAGTGGGTGCTGGGTGTTGAGGATGTGCTCTCTGGTCCCTACACTTTACACAGCCACCCCTGCATAGGCGGCGATCTGAGGGATATGGCCAAGGATGTTTGAAGAAACAAAACGCCTGACACCCGGTTCCCAAGCCACGGCTCTTTCCGCGGTAGAGGTCCCTGAGGGAGGCCTCCAAGGCCCGATTGGCCCCTGCTTCTTGGAGGCGGAACTCCGGACTGGTGGGCGGAGGGCTATTTAAGACTGGGCTGTGCAGGAGGTGGCCAAGTGCAAAAATGAGTGAACTGCTAGGTGCTAGCACCTGCCCAGGCCCAGGAGAGGCCTCACACCCTACGCCCCCGCTGTGCGCCAAGTTCAGGGAACCTCTCACCGAGGCCCGGTTCCAGCAGCTCTTCGGGGACGCAGAGCCGGAACCGGAACTATTCTCGGGGCCCGCCTGGAGTCGGCATTGCAGACAGTGGAGGCAGCGGGCCCGTGCGTGTTGGGGACCCGGGGCGTGGCGCCTGCTGCTTGCGCGGCTCCCCCTGCTGCGTTGGCTGCCCCACTACCGATGGCGGGCCTGGCTGCTTGGGGATGCGGTGGCAGGAGTGACCGTGGGCATCGTGCACGTGCCCCAGGGTGAGCGGCTCCAACACCAGCCTGTCCGGGCCCAAGCTCTAGAGCGTTTCCGGGAGGCGCGGAGGCTGGGAAACCAGGGGTGAGCTGAGTTCGCAGACAGGACCCAGAAACCAAGTACCCGGTAAGGACCGTGGGCCCCATCAGATGCCCACCCCCAGCTCCCCTCATCTGCGCAATCCTGCGAGAAGTCTAGGACACGTTCCAGCTCGGGGAACTGGAGAGAGGCACGGCGCCTGCCCCCCAGGACTCAGCCCGACAAGGAGCTCTGACCTTGTATGCTCCAGGGCCTCCCACTGAGGCCTGTTAACCCCTCAACTCCCTCTTGTGCCATGATTAGCGTCCCCATGCCAGTCCTAGGAGTGCAGGAAGGGGGTAGCTGGACACCCCCTTCCCTCTCCCATGCCGAACATTTTTCCTTCCACCTCTTCCCCAGGCATGGCTTTCGCCCTCCTGACCTCCGTGCCACCAGTGTTCGGACTCTACACTTCTTTCTTTCCCGTCCTCATTTACACCTTGTTGGGTACTGGGAGACACCTGTCCACGGGTGAGTGATCCGGTGACTCCTCTCCTCCTCTGTGGGGTGCGGCTTCTGTTCCAATAAGCTCCCTGCTCTTCTTCCCCTCTTCCTCTCCCCAAACCGCCGCTGAAGCAGTGAACCTCCAATCCCAGCAATGCTGGCTGGAGTGCTGAGTGGGTGCAAAGAGGCTGGAGTTTCCTCGGACTTTTTCTCCCCATGAAATTTGGCTAAAACGAACATATCCGGGACTTGGAAGAGGGGAGAAGAGTTGCGTGGTCACCCAAAGCAGCACAGTCTGCGGGGCTTCTGCAGAGTGGGCTGCAACGCAGTTCGGGGGCAGTTTTCGCCGGCTGGCGCGCCCACCTCCTTGTTCTCCGTGGGCTCCGGCCTGCTGCGCCAGCTCTTGGCCCCACGTCTCCGCTTGAGCATCAGACTTCTAAGAGAGTAGGGTCCGTCAGCAGCGTCCCGGGCCGCGAGCGCGGAGCAGCGCTGGTGATCTCTGAATTTGTCCCGCAGGAACTTTCGCGGTACTCAGCCTCATGACTGGCTCGGCCGTGGAGCGACTGGTACCCGAACCCCTCGGGGGGAACCTGAGCGGAATCCAGAGGGAACAGTTGGACGCTCAGCGGGTTGAGGTGGCTTCGGCCTTGGCCTTCGGAAGCGGGGCTCTGATGGTGAGGATGGACCCTGGGGGAGGATTCTGGGGGATGCACGCGGGGAGCCAGGGGAGAGGAGTTGGTTCAGGGATAGGTCTCCCGCGCTGGACCAGTTGGGAGACGTGCGCGAAGAAGCTGGCGCCCCGCGCTGGGACTGGGCGGCTCCTGCCCCTGCGCCGATCGGTGATTGCGCATCTCCTCCGCGGCAGCTGGGGATGTTCGTGCTGCAGCTCGGCGTCCTGTCCATCTTCTTGTCGGAGCCTGTGGTCAAAGCTCTGACCAGCGGGGCCGCGCTGCACGTGCTCGTGTCCCAACTGCCAAGCCTTTTGGGGTTGCCCCTCCCGCGCCAGATCGGCTGCTTCGCTCTCTTCAAGGTGGGGTGGGAGAACAGCGAAGAAGCTTCTAGCGGTCCCGGGCAAAGGGAATCCGAAAATAAAGGAAGGAAGGGCTAGAGCGCGCCTGGGGTGGAGGACAAAAGGTTATAACCACGCCGCGGAGGTAGGAGCCCTGATCAGAGCAAGGAGGCCTTGTCGGGGTCAGGTGGGTCCGCGCTGCGGGCAGTAGTCCCGGCGCCGGGCCCTCTGCTCACCGCCCGTGCCCGCAGACGCTGGCTGCTGTGCTGACGGCGCTGCCACGGAGCAGTCCGGCCGAGCTGACCATCTCGGCACTCAGCCTGGCGCTGCTCGTGCCAATCAAGGAATTGAACGTGAGATTCCGAGACAGACTACCCACCCCGATCCCAGGGGAAATCGTCCTGGTGAGGCTGGCTCCTGGGTCCCCGCCGCCTGCACAGCTCAGACTTTGCCCCTTGGGTAGGAGCTGGCTGCTGCCGCCCCCTCGTGGAATGCAGAGGGCTCACAGACGAGAGGCGGTGCTTAAACGTGTACTTTGCCAGGCCCCTTCCCAGAACACATTGACCCTTCGGAACCCCCACCCACACGTTACACTCCATCGCAGAGCCCCCTCTAGACCTCTTAAGAGTGTCTTCTTGCGCACAGCTCTCACAGCACCTCCACTCCCGTCTCTCCTCCCGGGGTCGCCCACTGTAACTTGCCATTTATCTTCCTTCCCACGCCCACATTTCTCTCTCTCCAACGAGAAGAGCTTTCCACGTCTCCACCGATATTCCCTATATTCCTAGATCCAGCCTGGCTTCCCTGCGTAGAATGGCTCAGTTGCACCTCTTGATGCCCACCATTGCTCCCTCTTATGTCCTCCCGTCCATCTCTCTCCCCCACCTCAGGTGTACATCCTTCCTCTTTCCCAGCCCCACTCTCCTTCACTCTAAATTAGTTGTCAGGCATCCACCTCAAACACATCCCATCTTCCCCAGGTGCTGGGCTCCCACAACCACTTAATCTGCATCATGTTCTTGTCTCATGTTGAGCCCCTTCAGCCCCTGCCAGGCGGCCCATCTCCTCCCATGTCCTAATTTGCTCTTTCCCAGGTGCTTCTGGCCTCTGTGCTCTGCTTCACTTCTTCCTTGGACACAAGATACAATGTCCAGATAGTGGGGCTGCTTCCTGGAGGGTAAGAGAGAATGAAGACACCAACCTGCTCTTTTCACACTTGTCCTACCCAACACCTCCTCTTGTCCTGCCCAGTCCTATTTTCTCTATCTTCCCTATATTCTTGTTATACCCAACTGCCCTCACCATGGACCCCTCTCTCTCCAGATTTCTCCAGCCCCATCTCCCCAACCTGGCTGAGCTGCCCAGGATTCTGGCTGACTCACTGCCCATCGCACTGGTTACTTTTGCTGTGTCTGTCTCCCTGGCCTCCATCTATGCAGACAAGTATAACTACACAATTGATTCCAACCAGGTGTGACTCCGACTGAGGAACCCAAACCCCTGATCTGAACCCGCAATGCCTTTGTCTCTCTCCTCTTCATCTCACTGTATCCCTCCAGGAGCTCTTGGCCCATGGTGTCTCCAACCTCATCTCCTCCCTCTTCTCTTGCTTTCCCAACTCAGCCACATTGGCCACAACCAGCCTACTGGTGGATGCTGGTGGGAACACACAGGTAGGAGCACATCCCTGGTCGGGGTGGTGGTGGTGGTGGAGAGACAAATGGAAGACCCAGGTGGCAGATGGAAAACTGTGAGGGTGGGTGAGGGAGGACATGGATAGGTATCTAGGTAGGAGAGATGGAACATAACAAAGCTCCATTAAGAGTTTTGTAGACTCTGAGCACTGAAAAGGTCTATGGTGCTTAACTTATGTAGTTCAAACTAAGAACAAAACTAAACTATGAAATAACTTTGAAAGACAAAGTTCTTATTTTTTTCCCTACAAGGACATTTTCTTTTAAAAAGAAGTATCACTTGAGAGTTTCCCCCTAAAATGTTGTTTCCTTTACTTTGCCTGTATCCTAAGCATAGAGTTAGCCTGCTTTAAGGGTAATCCAACAGTGGCTTTTAAGATGGAGCTGGGCTAAAAGTAGGGATGTTGAACTACATGTAGGGAGAGACCTGTGAATGATAGGCATTTATTTGGGGGAAGGGGAAAGGTAGGTATAAGCGACAGAATATCAAGAGGGGAGTTGAAGGGTGAGGAATGTCTGCGTGGGAGATTTCAGAGGAGGGAGACATCCAAGGAAGGTGAGGCAGAGGCAGAGTGGGCAGGGAAAGCCGCTCTCACACAGGGTGGGCGAGATTCTCACTTCTTTGCTCCTGTCCATCTTTTCTCTAGCTGGCAGGCCTCTTCTCCTGCATAGTTGTTTTGTCTGTGTTGCTGTGGCTGGGGCCTTTCTTCCACTATCTACCCAAGGTGAGGAGCAGAGGGGACAAGGTGTGGGGTGGCTGGCAGGGATGGCTACATGCCAGGACATTGGGGTGGTCAGCTCGCCTCCTCTCCCCCAAGGCTGTCCTGGCCTGCATCAACATCTCCAGCATGCGCCAGATGTTCTTCCAGATGCAGGAACTTCCACAACTATGGCGCATCAGCCGTGTGGACTTTGTGAGAAATGGCAGTCTCACCCCAGAGTGCCCCCTCCCATTTCCCTGGATCCCCAGCCTCTGCCCAGGATCAAAGCCTATTGTCCTAAGTTATGCAGTGCCCCCAACCCCAACATGCATACCTCCTAGTCCCTTTACTCAGAGACAAGGTGAAAGGTGAGGTTTGAACCCGTCAGGCCTCAATTTTTATAACTCCACAGCTGGTACAAGTTCTGGGGTCATTGCATTTGGTGTCTATCCCCTGTTGGGTCAGTCCTGTCCCCCACTCTGCATTCTTTCTATCTTCTCCTGGGCTATCCCTCCCCATCACTTGCCCTGTCAGTCACTGCCCCTGGGCCCCTTTCTCTGGCAGTGGTGGCCTGGAATTTCTTCTGGGCATTTCACTCCCATCCACATCCTGCAGGCTGTGTGGATGGTCACGTGGGTGGCGGTAGTGATCCTGAGTGTGGACCTCGGCCTGGCTGTAGGTGTGGTCTTCTCCATGATGACAGTGGTCTGCCGCACCCAGAGGTGGGAGCAGAGATGAGAGGAATTGGGATATGGGAGGGGAGAGAACAGAGTGCTTGGGGTGACTCTCCAGCCAGTCCAGGCTGGAAATCTGATCCCAGCTTCCTGCCCAGGGTTCAGTGCCTGGCACTTGGACTTGCTGAGGGGACTGAGCTCTACAGGCCACTCAGAGAGAGCCATAAGGTGGGTGGATTATACCAAAGAAGGAAGAGAAGATTAGATGCAGATATTTCTCTGACCCTCTGACCCCTTAGCTCCTTCAGGTCCCAGGACTCTGCATCCTGAGCTATCCAACACCACTGTACTTTGGGACCTGTGGGCAGTTTCGCCGCACCCTCCAGCAGCATCTGGGGCTTGGAGAAGGAGGCAAGGTGAGACTTGGTCAAAGGGAAGTGTGACTTCTCTGGGAATGGGAGGCAGGTGGGTCTTCTGAGGGGGACCACTGTGCTCAAGGGGTATATGTTTAGGCTTATGTCTCAGAGGTATTGAGTCCCCTTCTCTACTCACAGGAGACCCCAAAGACAGATGGCCCATCTGATGCAGGTGAGATGGGATGACAGGAGGCAGGTTTGGGCATGACCCATAGAAGCATCTGGGTACTGTGCCTTCTCCCATTCTAGTTGCTGAGCCTGTCAGAGTGGTGGTCCTAGACTGCAGCGGGGTCACCTTTGCAGATGCCGCTGGGGCCAGAGAAGTGGTACAGGTGAGGGAGAGCATAGGTGGAGGAGAAAAGCCCCTTGTCATCTGAAGCATACTCTCTGCTCTAGCATTAACTCCTGCCCAACCTCTGCAGCTGGCCAGCCTTTGCCGAGATGCTGGGATCCACCTTCTCCTGGCTCAGTGTAATGGTGAGAAGTGTGGAGGCTGGAGGGCCCTGCAACCTGGGGGATAGCTGGACACTTGGGGGAGCTCAGAGTATACTGTGTTCACTTAAGACCTAAGAGCCTGGCCCCTCTATCCACACAGCCTCAGTGCTGGGGACACTGACCCAGGCAGGGCTCCTGGACGGCGTGACCCCAGAGCAGCTGTTTGTGAGTGTCCAGGATGCAGCTGTTCATGCCCTGGAGAGACTGGTGAGGGACAGCAGCAAAGGCAGTGGGATCCAGGAGGTGCTGGGCTAAAGCCAGTGAAGTATGAATCAGTGGATGAAGATCCAGGCAGAGGGATTTGGGTAGGGGACTGAGGAAGAAGCTGAGGAGGAAGGGGTTGGGATGAAATGATTAGTCAACTTAAGATGAAGTCTAGTTATGGGTGAAGAAAGGAGGAACTAAGGTCCCTATGAGGGGTGTGTGGCCCTCAGAAGACTGCCAAATATAGGGTGAGGGGGTATCTGGTCTATCCCTGACATGTTCCCTCCTTTTTCCAGGTGCCCACTGGTCCAAAGCCTTGCACAGTGTGGGTCTGACCTGGTCAGTTGGAGGGTCCCAACAATGTGTGCATGAGGAGGTCTCTTCCCTAATATAACTAATAAAATGAAGCTGAGAGCCTCTGGGAGTCTTGAAGTGAGTTTGGGCATCCACACATGGACCCTTGGTTCACTGACCTCTATGCCCACAGCACCACAGAGACACAACTGCAAACAGCTTTCACTTGTGTGTTCAGCTGTGACCCCAGCTCCAGAGTCCCTGGCTCTCTCTATGGGGATGGGGCTGGAGCCAGTGCACAGAGTCCTGGATCCAGGGATGAGGAACAGCAGCACAGACCTGGGAATACATGTTGGGGGCTTTCCCATCCCCTCAGTCCCTAGGAGATGGGAGTGTCTACACTTTAGGTTCTAAGAGTCCCCATGGGCTCTTTGGCACTTGGAAAGTGACCCCCCCCACTTCCTGCCCCATGAGAAGGGGGTTGGGGAGGACTTGGCACTGGCTATGGGACAAGTTATGGCTCTATCCTGTCCCTGGGCACTTGAACAGGAGGAGTGTCACCAGGATAGGCCCCTATTTGGGATTAGGTTCTGAAGGGCATCAGGGAGAGTCAGTGGTCACTGGGTGGTGGGTTTGCTAGAAATTCCTGGTAGGGACAAGGAGGCAGGCCCAGCCTTATAGAAGGCTCTGAGTGGCCATCACTCTGAGGTCATGCACTGCAGACGGTGTTTGAAGAAGAGCAGGCGGTGTTTGGCCACTTGACTTTCATCCAGTGATCCTGGATAACGGTATCGGGCATAAGTCTCTGCCCCAGCATCCTTTGATGTCCAAGGCAGCTTCAGCTTGGATGCATGATCCACAATGACGTCTGAGCAGGAGCCCACCCTAAGGGAACCAAGCCCATCCAGGAAGAATTCTGGAGGTGAAAGCACACAGTGAAGGGTCTTGAGGGAGCTGAAGGCCAACCCTTCAGGGAGAACTGAAATTTGGGGTATGGAGGGTGCACAGCAAAGACTCCATTTCTAAAGACTTGGGGCTAGTAATGAATCCTTTTGGGTCTTAGTGTTACTCCTGTGGAAAATGCAGTCAATATACTCACCTTGTGCTTTGAAAACGGACTCCACCCCCACCCCCACGTCCCCCCAACACACGCACCCAGGTTCAGTGATGCTGAATGGGCTGCTCTGAGTGGGCTGAACAAGAGGCAGTGGCTGGGAGTCGGGTAAAGGTGCCGCTGACACTGGTGGGGAAGTTCAAGGTGGACCCAGCGTCTGTGGGGGCTGGGAGGGTGGGAGCTCAAGTCTCTTGCCCAGGCACAGGTCTTGGTAAATCTCAGAACCGCTCTAGGGGCCTCGGGTGGCAGCCGTGAGCTCCACGTGGATGGGACAGGCGTATCCTGGCCTCTGGGCGCCTGGCTGCACCAAGCCTCGCCCCGCGGGGTCCCTGTCAGGCCAGGCTGGGAGGGGGCGCCACTCACCCAGATGCGCCACGCGGCTGAGGCGTGGGTCGAAGCCGACCTCTCGCACCTTATCGGTGCGCGCCAGGAAGAAGTTGACCACGCCGTCAGTGACTACGCAGCCTGGGAAGCCGACGAGCTCATGGTGGAAGCCGCGCCTTTGCCGAAGGCAGTTCCCGCGGCCTGGTGCACCGGACTCCACGCTCAGCAGCTGTCGGTAGGTAGTGGCGAAGCCCGAGATCTCGCGCACTGCGCCCCCCACCTGCAGGAGTAGGAGGTTGGCTCCAGGTAGGGCTGGGTCTGGGAGCGGGGACACCATGCTCCCTCTCCCCGGGGCCATTCTCTTGTCCAGTCCTTTTCCGTTGGACCCCTGCAGGACCCAGAGAGTCCTCTACGCTTCGTCGTCCTCTCTTTGTCCCAGGCTGGCGCCTGGAAGCCGGGCCTCTCCTGGTGGCCTTAGCTTGCTGGAGGCTCTCCTCCCACCCCAGCCCCGGGGCCTCTCCCCTACCAGGTCCAGCGGTGTCCTCTCCAGCACGTCCACCAGCCTCTCCAGCCTCGTCCGCGCGGTGAAGATGAAGTCGTCATCCACCCACAGCACGTACTTGGTGGTTACTTGGGATATGGCCAGGTTTCGGCCTGCAAACCAACCCTGGGAGAAGGGTATGTATGATTGGTGAGGCTGTAGACAAAGGACACAACCCTCTGATACCTCTCTCCTCTCAACAGCCGGTGCCCCTCTCCAAACGTTCAAGTGCTTACCAATGGCCCAGAGCTAGGAAAAAATTCAGTTTCCCACAGCCAGAGGTTCTGAGTCTGTTCTGGGAGAGGGTCTGGGAATGCGTCTTATTCATGTGTGGTTTCATGCATTCAACAGTGTATTGAGCGCCCACTAGATGCTAAGCACCATTCTAAGAATGCAGCGTGAATAAGGCGGGTATGATTCCTGCTGCCACGGAGCTTACATCCCGGGGACCCTCAACCGTGACAGGCACCAGTGATTCTGAAGCAGGAAGTTCTGGCATCACTACTCAAGACTGCAGACTGAAGGTGTGCCCCTCCTGGTGCCCGCTGGGGCGCCCTTCAGCCTCAGGCTGCGCACCTTGCCGAAAGGCATGAGATAGTGCTCAATGTGGAGTCCGCTAATGCTCTCTGGCTTGTCGCTGTCGTCAGCGATGACCACGGTGACCGTCGGGTAGAAGCGGCGGATGCTGGCAATGAGTGCCCGTAGCCGATTGTAACGAAGGAAGGTCTTAGTGGCGATGGTGACCAGAGCACTGAGGTTGTACTGGGCTGGGAGTGAGGGGCAGGGTGAGGTGCAGGCAAGGAGAGTAGGGAGTGAGGAGCAGGGCGGCATCTCCCAGGGCCGCCCTCTCCCAACTTGCTCCCCAGGAGGCCTGGACCACTTCTCTGGGAAAGACAGCCTCACCTCCCTGGGGTAGAGATCCAGGTGAATACAGCCGAGGGTTGGGGGGGTGTCTTATGCGAATGGTGAAGGCTACCTCATGTCCCTCAGTGGAAAACCGGACTGGAAAGGAAGGACATGAGATGTGGCCCTTATGGCTGGGACAACATTGTTTTTCAGTAAATCGTTATTTAAGTGTCTACTCTGTGTACTACCTTTCTAGGCCTGATGGACAAGAATGCAAGTTTCTTACCCCATGGAACTTACATTCTAATGGGTGGGAGAAAGATAATAAAAGATGTATTAAAAGCTAACCTTTACTAAGCCCTTACTTCCTGACAGGCCCCTTTCAAATGACTTTAAACATATGAATTTATTTACTCTTCACAACAGACCTGCTAAGTAGAGTACTACTACAGAAAAAGAAGGTACAGAGAAATTAAGTAACTTGTCCACATTTACACAACTATGAAGCAATGAAGCTGATAAAGGAACCTAGTCAGTCTTGTTCCAGGTAAAGTAAATAAGAAAACTCAGATACTGATAAGTATTGATTAGAAAATAAGACAGGTAATGTGATACTGAAGAGGGGACATTTAAGGTAGGATCACCAAATGACAAGAAGGAGCCAGCCCTGCAAAAACCTGGGGGAAGAGCATTCTAGGCAGAGGGAACAGCAAGTGCAAAGTTCCCAATGGGAGCACAGGTTTGGGGTAGCAAGCCTGGTCGAAGAGCAGGGGGCACCCCTTTTGCTAGAGGAGAAATAGGAGCTCTGAGAGATAAAGCCCTTTGCCTGCTAGTAAGTGTACAGCTGGCTGTGAAGCTTGACTCTTCTGGCTCCTGGGACAGGTCACTTCCTGGAGCCCCCATGGTTGGGCTAAAGCAGCAGGGACACACCCAAGGCTCGGGTTCCCTCTGGCCTGCTCTGGCCCCAGATGAACAAAGGCCCCTTCTCTCCCTCCCTGGCCCTGCTGGCCTAGCTGAAATGCCCATTGTGTGACTGGGCAGCTCTGGCCATTGCCCCAGCGTCTCCTACACTCTCTGCCATTTGCCCACTCAAGCCTTTCTGGGCTCTTCCTGTTCACCCAGCCTGCCCCTACCTCCACCCAGGCCTCACACCTGTGTCTGCTGTATTTGCCTGATAGCTTTGGCTGCTGTAAGTGACTAGTTGCAGCTGCCGATTGAGTCGGTCCAGCCCTGGGCTGGCGAGGGTGAGATCTGGTTGCCCCTCTCCAGTGACAGTCACTCCGGTCACTTCCCCTGCCACATCCCAGGTGCCCAAGGAGGCAGTCAGGTTCACCTGGGAGAGGGGATTGCAGACTGCATGTTAGGCCCCACACCCACCTCTTGGCCCCCTGGTTCCTCCATTTCTCTGTTAGCAGCCCCATCTCCCTCCTGCATCCTTGATGCCCCCTGGTCTCCCCGCCCCCTGGCTCCTCTCACCTGGTTCCTCTCACCTGGTATACCTCCTGACCAGAAGCTGCCTGCAGGCTCAGCCCTGAAGGGAAGGAGGAGGGGATCAAAATCACAGGAAGCCTTGAATTCTTCTTCCCTTTCTCTTCCCTCTTTCACCATACACAACACAGAAGTTCTCACCCATCCCTCTGGTTAAGGCCACTGCAGGGCATGCTGCGGGACACAGCCTAAAGTAACTGATTTTTCACTCTTTCTTCTCAAAGCAGGAGCTCTTCTACAGCTTGTCTGACCTATCCACCTAACCTTTGGTCAGTCAGCAAAGAATGGGTTCTTTTCCCCAAACCTCTCTGATTACAATTACAGGTCTCACAATAAGATATCACCTCACACCACTTAGGATGGCCAACATCCAAAAGACAAGAAACAATTGCTGGTGAGGATGCAGTGAAAGGAGAACCCTCCTACACTGTTGGTAGGAATATAAGCTAGTTCAACCATTGTGGAAAGCAGTATGGAGGTTCCCCAAAAAACTAAAAATTGAAATACCATTTGACCCAGGAATTCCACTCCTAGGAATTTACCTGAAGAAAACAAGATCTCTGATTAAAGACATATGCACCCCTATGTTTACTGCAGTACTATTTACAATAGCCAAGATATGGAAGCAACCTAAGTGTCCATCAGTAGATGAATAGATAAAGGAGATGTGGCACATATACAAAATGGAATGTTATTCAGCTATAAAAAGAAAAGAAATCCTACCATTCCCAACAACATGGATGGAGCTAGAGGGTATTATGCTCAGTGAAATAAGCCAGGCGGAGAAAGACAAGTACCAAATGATCTCCCTCATGTGGAGTATAAGAACAAAAGAAAACTGAAGGAACAAAACAGCAGCAGAAGCACAGAACCCAAGAATGGACTAACAGTTACCAAAGGGAAAAGGACTGGGGAGGACGGGTGGGAAGGGAGGGATAAGGGTGGGAAGAAAAGAAAGGGGGCATTACGATTAGCATGTATAGTGTTGGGGGGGCACGGGGAGGGCTGTGCAACACAGAGAAGACAAGTAGTGATTCTACAGCATCTTACTATGTTGAAGGACAGTGACTGTGAACTTGGTGACAAGTAGTGATTTTACAGCATCTTACTATGTTGATGGACAGTGACTGTGAACAGGGATGTGGGGGGGACTTGGTGAAGGGGGAGCCTAGTAAACATAATGTCCTTCATGTAATTGTAGATTAATGATACCAAAATTAAAAAAAAAAATTCCTCTGTGGCCCATCAAGTATCTGTTTGCCAAACATTTACTCTCCTGTCGTGAACTGCTTCCCTTTCCCTTTGAAGTCCAGGCCCCTGCCCCTTTCTCCTTAGTTCAGGATGACAGATATGCCTCATTCTCCCTGGCTGTCTTTGAAATCTCATTCTATGGATTCCCTGAACATGCATAATTAAACTTTGCTTTTTTTTCTCCTGCTAAAAAAGAAAAGAAAAGAAATCCTGCCATTGCAACAACATGGATGGAACTAGAGGGTATTTTGCTCAGTGAAATAAGCCAAGCAGAGAAAGACAAGTACCAAATGATTTCACTCATTTGTGGAGTATAACAACAAAGCAAAATTGAAGGAACAAAACAGTAGGAGACTAACAGACTCCAAGAAGGGACTAGAGATTACCAAAGGGAAGGGGTTGGGGAAGGAGGGAGAAGGGGATTAAGGGGCATTATAATTAGCACACACAATATAGGTAGGTCACAGCATAGAGAAGACAAGTAATGACTCTATAGCATCTTACTATGCTAATGGACAGTGACTGATGGGGGGGGCGCTTGGTAATATAGGTGAATGTTGAAATCACAATGTTGCTCATGTGAAACTTTCCTAAGATGTATATCAATGATATCTTAATTAAAAAAAACAATTACAGGTCTTCTGCAATTCCTGACAGCCCTAGAATCCGTTCTGTCCCCACCTCCCAGTTCAGGATCCCCCTTCTGACTTCAAGTTCACCTTTCAGCTGAAGTCCCCCTGCGTCCCATTCCAATTTTCCCTCATTCTTCCCCACCCAGCCTCAGGCTCTGCCACCCCCACAGTGGCTTGGCTCATCCCCTAGGACTGCTGTTCCCACCTGGCACCAAGATGCTCCTGAGTGGCTGCACCTCCACACCCTGCAAGGGGTACTGGAGGGGGGAGTTGGCAGGGGCTATGAGCAGCTGGTCAGCAGCGGACTGGCTCCTGGCATTTGAGGAGGAGGAGGACAGAGGAGGAGTCAGGGGGAGGGGCTTTCCCTCTGGCCACACCCACCACCCAGGCTTCCCACGCTGTCCACCTGCGGAGGTAGACCCTCCTTTCCTGCTGGTACCTTGAAAGGAAGGCCTGAAACTCCTGCTCTCTCAAGGCAGAGGCAGTCTTCAGCTCCTCAGGGTCAAACGCCTTGGTGAAGTCAATGGCTTGGACCTGCCTCTGGAAGGGGAGGTGAAGGCTCCCTCCACTGGGCTCACAGCTGCAGTTGTGTCTAGAGAGCAGCCTGGAGAGGGGATGGAGGGAAGGTCATCAGAGTCCAGTCACACAGCTCTATTCACCTTACAAAACATTATCCAGCACCGTACACTAAGGTGCACCCTTAGCCCTTCAGTTCTGCCCATGCAATATCTGTCCCCTTAAACACTCCTCTTCAAATAGGCCCTAGGAGGAGGGACCAGACCCCTCCCCTATCTATGTATTTTACAGAGATGTAGAATAGGGCCAATTGCTAGGATTTCGGAGTCGTCTACAAACCATTCAGGCCCCCACCTGGACTCTCCTTTCATGTGGACTCACTGGGACATCAGAAAGCCTTTCAGGGCCCTCACAACACCATGAAAATATTCAGAAAGGACATATTTTTCCCCCCAGTCCAGGTCGGAGTACCTGCCCCCACCTCTACCTCACCCTGCAAAACCAGTCTGGAGAACCCAGGCTCAATGCTGAGAGTGGAGCAAACAAAAGCTGCCCACACCACCCACCCAGCGACGCCGCGCTGCCGCCACCCTTTCCAGCACTCACCCCACCACTCGCTTCTTGATCCTAACGGGGATGTGTGCATAGCGGGGCTCCGGGGCCAGGGCTGGGAGCTCTGGCCTGGAGGGCACCTGCAGGGGCGCCCACAGCGCCAGAGGTGTCCGGAGGCCGGTCGCGTCCCGGGTGCTCGCGTACAGGAGCCCCAGCGAGGCGCAGGCGAGCAGCAGGACCAGCACATACACGGCCCGGCGGCCCAGCCGCATCCTGGGTGGGCGGTAAGGAAGGAAGGGTGAGAACGGTGGGGAGGGAAGGCGCGGGCCGGGCCCTGGACGCCGGCGGTTCTCGAGGCTCCTGCCGGCTCACTGGGGCGCTCTCCGCTTCTCGGCGCGCTAGGATTTGCACAGCGAATCGCTTCCCCTGTCCCCCTCCCTGCACTCCCGAGGCCTCGGTCCCCCAGACTCCTTTCTTCTCGCCTTCTCCCGCATCTCGGTTTCCTCCACTCCAGAGGCCCGGCGTCTTGATGCAAGAGACCTTTGGATGCGGTGGTTTCGATGAGGCAGCACATCAGTAGAAAAGCACCGCTCTGCTGGGACAGCGAACATTCCCAAGGCCTCCGCCCGCCAGGCCCGCGCGCACCCTGACCCCTCGGCCTGCGCTCCCTCTGGCCAGGGAAGGCTGCAAAGGGCGGCCCCACACCTTGCCTGTCATGAAAAATGCAGAATCACGCAGCCGTTACTAGGTACCCCGGCGGAGGTGGCCTCACGAGCGGCCTCGGGGAGCCGTGC